ACTTTATATACCTTGGTACCGCCATAAATAAAACGAATGACATCAGTTTTGAAATTCGGAGAAGGATTGTGATGGCCAACAGATGCTACTATGGTCTAAGTAAGCAGTTTAGAAACAAGGCCACCTCCCGCCAGACCAAACTCACACTTTACAAGACGCTGATACTACCCGTGCTATTATATGGATCAGAAGCATGGATACTTGCGCCAGCAGATGAGGCAGATCTACGGGCCGATCTGCGTCGACGGTGAATATCGGCGTCGAATGAACCACGAGCTTTATAATTTATATGCCGACATCGACATAGTCAGTCGTATTGACAAGACCGACGCGCTTGGAAATCTTTTTTAAGCTCGGCTTATGGAACAACCGTTCTGTAACAAGCCAGCTAAGTAAGTAAGATAAGTTGTGTGTCACTTTCTGGTTTTGCCTTAATCAATGGCACGTTAAATGTGCTCGAATTAATGCAAAAGTAGTGGACACAATTAGGGATAATGTTGGTGTCAGTTGGTGCTGTGTTTATTGTCGAAAACTCTCAGCCGACTTTTATAACTTTGTAAAAGACTTGCAGTCGGAGCTTGGTTCGATGAAAAAGGAATTTACATCGTTATCAAAACGTTTTGAGAATATTTCCAATTTGTTCAAAAAGTACCAAGAGCTGGTTGAATTTGTATCATCGCCGTCTGTGTCTGGGCAGAAATCAATCACTAACAAAATGAAATACTCTGACAAAATATTAGTTCTCGGCGATTTTAATCTGCCGTCCGTAAAGTGGCTTTCATTGCCAGATTCTGAGGCTCTAACGCCCTTGACATCTGATGCAAATGTAAACCAATATACCTTTGAAATTGTAAATCGATTTAGCGACATAAATCTTTATCAAATAAATAGCGTATCAAATTGTTATGATCGAATTCTAGATCTAGCATTTGTGAATTATACACAATATTTTGAAATAATTAAAATACCTCCAGTATGTACTCCCGAAGATAACTACCATCCTACATTATGCATATCCATGATGCATAATAATTTAGCTACCAAAAATCCTTCAATGTCATTTAAATCTCTTCCTAATTATAATAAATGCAATAATCCATTCCAAATTGCTAATGTATGCTGACGATGTCAAGTTGTTTATCACCCATAATTCCATGAAGCAAGCTGATTTACTTCAAAATGATTTAAATAGCATTTTTCAACGGTGCGAATTAAACTGTATGGATTTAAACCTAAACAAATGTAAACATATGTGTTTTTCCAGATCTTCTACTTTAACAAGGCAATACAATATTAATGGTACTGTTTTATCAACTGTAGATTCATTTGTTGATCTTGGTATTTTAATGGATCCAAAATTAAATTTTAATAATCATGTAATTTCTATGGTAAACAAAGCCCACGGTGTCTTAGGATTTATAAAACGTTGGGCTAAAGAATTCTCTGATCCCTACATTACAAAACAACTTTTTACATCTCTTGTGCGGCCCATATTGGCTCTGTTGTATGGGATCCCCAATATACAATATATTCCGATAAAATTGAATCAGTGCAGTAACAATTTCTAATTTTTGCACTGAGAGGTTTACATTGGAATAGTGAGTTTGTGTTGCATTCTTACACTAGCAGGTTAATATTAATTCGATTGCCTACATTAAAGAGTAGACATATTATGTTGAACACTATGATGGTAATTAAAATACTAAACGGTAATATACCTTCAGACTTCCTACTTTCATCCATTAGAATGAATGTTCCTTTTCGATTAAGTAGATATTATCAACCATTATACGTAGATTTTCATCGCACAAATTATTCTATGGGAGATCCACTTAGTAAAATGTGTATTGATTTCAATTCTGTGTATTCTAACGTAGACTTTTGCATGAATATAGAACTAATAAAATCTAATATAATTATATTTTTAAATGAATAATACAACTTAATAACAAACTGGCTGTTGAAGTAGATTTCTGTAGCTGGTTTTCTATCCCTTCTTATATACCATCATAATGCGGATTATGGTGTGTACGCGATCCCTACGAAAGGGGAGGTCGCCCCCTCGGTCGGCAGGGGTGGGAAAGTGAGGCGTGGGAACGAACATAAAAAACAAAAGATGCTTGAGAAGATCCGCCATAAATAGGCAACAAATAATTTATTTTTGAGAGTATAAGGGCTTTGAAGACTGTAATGATTGTATTCATGTTACAGTTCAGTTTGAAGCTAGAGAGGGATTTTATGATAGCAAGCCGTTTGGATAGTGTAGAAGTTAGGTAATCAATGTGGTCCGTCCAGTTATATCTAGAACAAGTTCGCTTACATCAGTTAGAAAAATGTTACTACATTGTATGGTATAACGACAATTTTTCTTTCTGCATATATGTAGATATTTACATTTTGAATCAGATAAAATAGCACCAGAGACCTCGCACCATTTTTCTACTCTTTTAAAGAGGTTGTTAAGTGGCAGCGTAGGGTTTTTCTGCTCAGAACGGATCAGAAGATTGAGGTCGTCAGCATAGGCAGTAAAATTACATTATCGACACATCCCTTTCTATGTTTATAAAATCTAACACTAACGCATATCATTCACTTTTCAATCAATGGATCTAAAACCACTTCAATTACTTCTTATAGTGTCACTACCGAAACGGATATTATTGTAACAAAACTTCTACATCCAAACAGTTCCATTTATTCAGCTGAACTTATTGCAATATATGAAGCCTTTCTATTTCTCAAATCTTTCTGCTATTAAATACGAAATTATTAAAATTACAATTGCACCGAAACCTACAATCCGCTCATCATCGATTTGTCGGTTGAGAAATGTCCAAACATAAAATTATTGTGGGTTCCGGTTATTGTAATATTAAGGGTAATGAACTCGCAGATATTACAGCTAAGAACGCTCAAATGTCCCCAATTCTCACATCTAATAATTTTTAACGCACAGATATAAATAAGTGTGTATACAACCATTACTGCAAGGCCGATAGAATACAGACATATAACACCTCTTCGACAGATCTATTAATTGTGCTCGTATACCTGCTTTAAATGTTCTACCTCCCGACCCAAAAAAGATGAATATGATAAAAATCACCAGACTACGACTGGGACGTACGATGACCACTCATGGTCACCTATTAAAACTAGACCCTGACCCGTATTGTAACTGTTCCATGGATACCGCAGACTTGCAACACCTCTTGTCAGTGTGTCCCAAGTTTGAAAACATACGTAGGCAGCTATTTCCCAACTCCAGTCCTATATCCTGTATTAATGATATCTCTTAGAGATTAAGGCCTGAGTGCTATTGCTCATCTCCATTAGCATATAATTTGTAATTGTATTGGTAATATGTAAATAAATAAAATATTACTTAGGATCTGTATAATAGAGCGGAGGAGAGACTTCCGTTCAAGCCTCATGGAATTTTTTATTTATAAATTTTATATATAAATTTATTTATATTATAAATTTTAACCAATACGTAATGATGTAATCTTTACTTTGGATCTAAAAACGATTTCAGTACTTTTTTAATGAAGGGAGTCATAATGTTCAAATGTGCCATCCATAGGAGATAGCTTTAATAGGTCTGGCCATTGTATCTTGTAGTGATTAAGCCTAAAAATATCTTAAGAACATATCGCTCATTTGCTGCAAGAGAGGCATAACTCAAAAACCGTGATTTTCGAGTTAATGATGCACGATTGTTCGCTATAATAGACTTCATGTTGTGTAAAAAGATCATATGCATATCTCTTACACACTCTAATTGAGAAGCTGTAGAAGTTCCTCTGTCCCATATAAAGTGTGAGTAATTGAAATCTTATCTTATTGACCTATGTGTAGTTTTGTAGAAATCAGTTTAGATGTAGATGGAAGCTATATATATATATATATATACAAACTTTCAAAGGTCAAACACAATTGAAAATTGAGAAAATCGGATCAGAATAAGATATAGCTCCCATATGTTCCACAATAGTTCAGCTAAGTCACAAAGTTTGTCCAATTGATAGAAACTTTGCACAACGTTCTGAATTATGTACAAATTGAGGTTTGTTTAGTTTTATTGAAACTTTTTCAGATTTAGATATGCATGCATATTTTTGTCCGATTTTATGTAAACGGTGCTCCAAACTCCCATGGTTTCGTTTTCATTTAAACTTTGATCATGTAGCTCATCTCGAAAGAGAAATAAATAAAAAGCATTTACATGAATGATACTTCGCCCTAAAAAGGCATACAACTCAAAAATTCAGCTTGAGTACTGCTGGGATGGCATATCTCGATTGTTGTCCGACGGCTTAGCGTTCAAAGCCAACTTCTTATCTTCCTAATTTTGCACAATATGCAGTTGTATACAATGGGAAAAATCAGTCACTACAAAAAAACCCTGCTCTAAAAAGGGATGTTCTGGTGTGATGTAAAATGTCCGAACCTTGACACGGTTGAATTAAATTCGTAGATTTAACTTCGCAACAATATTCCACATAAATACATCATATTAAGTCACGGAATTTGTAAGCCACAATATGTCTGATGAACCGCCTAACCAATGGCGAAACGCGTCGTATATTGGTGGAAATGTAATATCTCTCTGGCTTTTCATTGCAACTTCGAATAATAATGTTCACTCATTTAAGTTGTTGTTGCTACTAAAAAACAATGGGCAGTATAAAACCATTACCACCATTACCGCTTGTCTAGAAAGCTAAAGTTGAGTTGAATCTACGTAACTATTTATACATACAGATATAAGGTATATACTCATATAACGGTACCAATTTTATCGGTACTAAAAACATATTACAGCATTGGGATTCACATTTAATATCCTTTCTATTCAAATTTGGTTCTTTGGTTGACGTTCGGAGCTACATAAAAACCAAACGGAATTAACCATCCTGTATGATTCTAGAAAAAAATTATTGTTTACCTATGTCATTGATAAAAGCCTAACCACTAATTATGTTTTTCTGTATTAGGTACTGGTACTTCTGGAACAAGTTCATCAGGAGGCGGTAGACCTGGACATAGGAAATCATCACCGGCGCTAACACCAGATGACGACTCAGTAGATCCAAATCAAGTAAGTCATAAAAATGTGTTTTTTTTTACTCCTAATCATGGTACAATAACAAGAGATAGGTTAACGGCACCTGTTGGTTACATTTTTCGTTTGTGTGCCCCTGTTCTATCAAAACAATAACGCAATTTGTATATGTTTTTGTAATTTCTTGAAAAATAAAAAACAATTGAAATATTTTTAAATTCAGTTCTTATTAAAATGATCATTGCAGTATTGAGAGAGAAATAATCATATTTGCAACCCCATATTGTGAAAAAACTTCAAATTCCATTAATTTTTCGCGATATTTTCCTATAGTCTTTCCTGCCTTACCCCTCGGCGGACAATGCCATACATTCTCCACTAATAAGTAGTTGTTTTTTTATAAAAACAACAAACTGGGATTCATCCTGACTATTTTGCACAAACAAAATACAAATGGTATCCCAAATAACACGCCAACGCTACAGAATTAGAAATATTATATTCAAATGTTCAAAATTTAATTGGTAACATTCCATACTCTATGTTTCATTGAATATTTTTGATGACGGTTTGGTATATGCTACACATCCCCACAAGCAAAAACTATTGCGGAAGTAACGCCTAGGCGTCAGTCAAAGATGTGACTAAAAACTCCGGGTCACTTCCAAGCAGTAAGTTCGAGAAGTTACATCCGCGATACTATACAATTGGGACTCAGAAGTAACTTCTCGAAGTTACTCATCCCGCTCGATGATTCCGGCCACTGTGCAGTATACCGAATTGGGTATAGAATATCCTATCTTATGTTTGGTTAAAATTGGTAGATAAAGCTCCTATATATTTTGTCGACTGATTTTTTTGAAAATTTGTCCGATCTAGACGAAATGTAGCACAGCTCACCGAATTGAGCCTAGAATTACGGTTTGGATTTAAACAATTATCGCAATTAATGTGCGTACCTCACACATACTGTTTTATTTTTGGTTTCATATTATTGAACTAAACGCTATTAAAAATATCAGTTTATTCAGCTTACTGTCGAAAATTAAAAAAAATATTTTGAAAAATTTACATAATTAATATGTGGAAATGCAAATATCCCCTTTATTCTGAGCAATTTCTTGCCTTCTTGAGCCAAATCACTGTGCTAAATTAAATTTAGTTAGTAAAAACTTAATCTAAGTGTAGCTATACACTTAACGATACATCTATCTTCTATCTTCTATATACAGTATTTTTCGGTTAATTGAACCTACGGTTAATTGGTTTCCCCGCTTTATTGAACCACATGATGGGGCAACAAAATATTGCAAATTTTGTTAGGAACATTTTGTACTCAATGATGATCCAAAATATAAAATTAAGCCAAATTTCGAATATCATATATTTATAGTTTTAAGTAGAGATGTTGAAGGCCGTGCCCAAGATCATCAAAATACCGAATATTGAGAGCTACCATTATATGGGCGGTACCCCGAATCATTAATAATTTTTGGTACGGAAAAAAATCGTGAAAATTCCTCATATTACAAAATACCGTTTTATGGGGGCTACCTTTAAAAGAGAACCAATATGGAACATTTCAATACCAAATATCCTAGGAGTAGTAATGTATGTGCAAATTTCAAAGCTCTCTCTTATAGTGGAGGGTATAAAAAGCTAACTTAATATTGGGCTACCGTAATGAGGAAGTCTTTTAAATATATTGGGAAAATATAATTAAATTCGAAAGTCAAACTTATATGCGCATTTAAATTTATTAAAATTAATTTTTTCCACGAATTCGAATATTAATACATTTATATCAACAGAAACATTAGAATGCAAAAATACAAAAAAAAATTACAAAGATCTGTACACTTTACCTTATAGTGGAGGGTTTAGAAACAAATCTAAAATTCCGAAAATTATAAATCAACAATATTGCTGGACAAGACAACGTTTGCCGGGCCCGCTAGTATTGAATATTTTTTACCCCCATACACACAGTAGGAAAAAATGCAGATCTAGCGCGCAGAAAATAAAAGTAGATGTTTTACTGTATGTTTATCGATATTTTTGATAAGAATAGATTTAGATGGACAATTTTAATTATATTATGAAAAAAATTGGAATTTTTTTTATTAACCCACTAAGCACCGAATTTTTTTTTTAGAAAAAAAAACTTAAATTTTTGGGTGAAAATGACTATTTTGAAGCTTTTTAAATATTTTTTAATAAGCAACATTTTCGTTATAACTAATAGAACTCCTAAAATGGGAGCTTCTTTTAAAAATTCCAAAACATTTGGAGGGTAAAAAGTGGGTTAAGGGCAAACACTATTGTTATTATATGTATCTTTATTATTGTTAATATTATATATCTAAAACATAAAACTATATATATTTTATAAAATTTAGGCATTTCTTATTAAACACTAATCACATTCAGAATACGAGTTTTGATCTGAATTATTTGGTAGCAATGGATCCTCCAGTAGTTTTCAAAAAAATTGCCATAAATCCGAGAGTCGCAGGAAGTCGCAGGAAAAAAATTAGTATGATGTTCTAGACAGACACACAGGAAAAATAAAACAAAAATCAACGCTGAACTCGACTGCACTCCATACTAAACCCCTATTTTAATTGAAGGAATTTAAAAAAAACAGACCTTACATATATTTAGCCCGAAACACCTAAATTAAAATAACTTATGGGTTATATAACTATACCATTTAATTAAATACCAATACTATCTATCAAAAATGGACAACATTTTATAATAATATATTCACAGAATGCACACGACCATCGCAATTTTATAGCTAAAAAATACCATTTTTAACATTGGAAAAAATTTCTATTTTAAATGTACCGTTATTCCGTTCTAGCTTATTAATTCGGATCATTTTACACGGACATAAGTACTCTCAACACTCTACTCTACAGCATTAATGTTTTAAAGTTTCCTTCAACTTCATTTTTTTTATTTTCTGCGCGCTAGATCGGTATTTTTTCCCACTGTGATACGTTTTGGTCAACTTGAATGAATACAAAACTTACAGTTACAAATAATAATTCTAGATATTCTAATTTCCTTCATTGAATGATACATTTTACAACCTGAAAAAACGGCAAATTTTGGGTAGGGTTTTTACTATATATTTTACTATATTCATATAATTCATAAAATATTTCTTCTATTAGAACGTACGGTTTTAGCAACTACTTTTCCATGGAAAGGTCAACATAAACAACCTAAACAACGACAACAATCAAATTTCCATTTACCCACCCCTAAACATATTTTTTGCTCGTTTCAATGCCATATCGACATTGTCTATTTTTATAATATTGTCTCTGACAAAACAATTAACAACCAAAGTCGTGTCGGAACACTTATTATTTTAGGCTGTGACAGTTCCGTACTTTTCCAAATAAAATGACATGAAACGAAAATTAGCTACATACAAAAGTATGTGAATACCAATTCTTCGGAAGTAGCCATCAATTTTATCGACAGAAATATAAACAATTGTTGGTATAATATGTACAATACGAACGTTAACATTAATTGGGACAAAATATGAACAACATTTTAACTGAGAAACCTGGGAATAATGAATGCTACCTTGTTGAAGAGGTAGATGCATTAATACAATTTTATCTCTCAAGTTGGCTCTTTTCTTTTAAAAAATGAGATATGTGAAATCTCAAATTAACAATTGGGCATCAAATGATTTTTTAGTAAAATCTTTCGTATTTTTAACTATATTCGAAGACCACATACATACATATATTAGAAGACCACATACATCAACGGGTCGAAAAGGCACATAGATGCTGGTCTTTCTGTAGAAGAGCCGTGGGCTCTAAATGGGGATTCAACCCAAAGATGGTACACTGGATCTACAAGAGCGTTATTAGGCCAATTCTAACTTACGCGTCTGTAGTCTGGTGGACAGCAATTGACAAAAAATGCAATGTAATAACATTTTTAAACTTTTGTCTAGGCATATGCGGGGCAATGCGGACAACACCAACTAGGGCACTGGAAACTATACTGTCCAGTTGACATCCAAATAAAATACGAAGCGGCCATCGCAGTGTGCCATGAACGAGTGGATTTTCGGACACTACACACCGCACGAAAACATACTGCAGGCTACGATCGGAAACTCAATTAACCACTTTGAGTCAGATCGAATACCTGAAACAAGAGCAATCACGTTGTGTGAAATCCTGATACCGGACAGAGACTCATGGAGCAGCGGAACAAAAAACTGTTGTTACACGGATGGCTCCCGGCTAGCGGGAAAGACGGGATTTTTTGAAGAACCGGGGACTTTTTCGCCTGCCAGATCACAACACGATCCTACAGGCGGAGGTTCAAGCTATAACGGAGTGTCTAAAAATCTCTAACTCTGGGCATAATAACATAAACATCATGACAGATAGTAAACATGCTATTAATGCAATAACATCCAAGACAGTTACATCAAAAACCGTACTGGAATGCATAAAAACAATAAACAACTTCTCACGACACGGTCTTGTACGTATAATATGGGTACCGGGTCACTCAGGAGTCATAGGAAACGAGATAGCCAACCAACTCGCCAGACGTGCTACGTACCTAATCAACATAGATGTGAACAGTGCAAAACCTTTCAGCGCTTCACGTCTAGAAATGAGGTCATGGGCGAAAGAGGCGCACAAAACACTCTGGAATAAAGAGAGGATTGGAAAAAACACAAAAATCGTATGGGGAGACCCTAATGCTTACGCTAAACAAGAAAGAACTAAGCAGACTGATAGGCATTCTCACAGGACACCTTAACCTGCAGTCACATTTACACAAGATTGGGTGTTCGGGAAGCAGCAGGTGCAGAGCGTGTGGGGAAGACAACGAAACGCTGGAACATTTTCTATGCCACTGCCCAGCTTTTGCATTCATCCGAACCCAATTCTTGAAAACCGACACTATTCCTGAACTTAATGACCTAAGGGGCTGTGAATGGAAAATATTAAAGGACTTCTGTAAAAACACAGAATTCC